CAGAAGAAGCAGGAGGCGTTACTGTCCCGGGAGGACTCGGCGGAGCTGATGGAGGAGCACCGGCGCCTGATGGCCTGGAACGATGCGGAGAATGCCCGGCAGCGGGCGCGCAGGTCAGCCCGGCCCCGCACAGCGCCACGGGGCCACTGCCCTTCGTGGCTTTGGATTTTCCTTGCGCGGAACTAAATCCAGCACTCGGGTCAGTTAGAGTTTCGTTTTACAAAGACCCTTGGCCTAAATTTGGACCTTTTTGAAATAAATCTGCCTACGCAGCGGTCATGTTTCCAGCACCTCCCGCTGCTGAGGGGTCAGTTACCGAGCTCCGGACAACCTCCCGCTCTCCTGCGGAGGTGGGGGTCATGGGGAGGATAAGTTTCTCGTTCCCTCCCGCACCGCTCCTGGGGAGCCGTCCTCTGGTCAGGCTCGGGAATTATGTCGGTGCTTCCAAGAAAATCAGCATCTGCTGAATCTCAAAAGCAGGAGAAAGGGAAAATCTCATCTGTCCTGTCCCTGCTGGCTGTCCCTTACCTGTCACAAACCACTTGAGCTTCCCCATCCAGGTCCTGCTGGAATAGTTGCGTGCTCCCAAACGGAGGCAGACCCTACTGGGTCTCGGGGCCGTGCCACACGTTGCCGATGCTGGTCCATTTGAAAGCTTTTGCGTGAAGATTTGGCATGAATTTTTCTCTTGCAGGAGGAGGGGAATTCCCTTTGTCCCCACGCTGGGGACAGTGTGGGCTCTGCCCCGGCGCGGCTGCTCCGCTCCTTCCCCTTTGTTCTGGCTGCGCTCAAACTTTGCAGCCCGAGGGATCAGCGTGTCTCACCAAAGTGCTGCCCTGCAGAGCGTGAGTGTTCACCGAAGCCTTGTTGTTTTGGTTTCTTTTCCACATGGCAGAGAGGAAAGAATTAGGAAGGAAGAGGAAGAACGGAAGAGGCAGAAGTTATACGCTGCGGAGAACAAGGCCAGGAAAATGGAGGCTTTCCTGAAGGAGAAGGAGAAGGAGGTTCTCCAGCTTCAGGTAAGAGCAGCTGGTGCCTGCTGGGGAGAATGCTGCCAGCAGTCCCTGCGAGAGATTTGTTGGCAGCCTGTGGGAGCGATGTGGAAACCGTAGGCTCGTTTTCCGGAGACTTTTATGTTGATAGCTGGGAAGTGTTAGCACCTTTTGGGAGTGTTGACAGCGTGTGGATGGGATGGAGGATAAGTGAGAGCTTGGAAAACAGAGGATGGAATAATCCTGAGTGAATCAAGATTAGAATAAAGGTTTCGTCTCTCTTGACTCGGCTCCTGCTGAGGTCCTGGCGGTGCTGGTGGCATCTCGGGGTCTCTCGGAGGTCCGTGAGCTCCGCAGGCACCAGCAGCTCCTGCGCTCCGGCCCCGCCTGTCGCGACTCGCGGGCTAACGGGCAGTAAGAGCCGATTCTTGTCCCGCGTTCAGGAGGAAGCCAAGAACTTCATCACCCTCGAGAACCTGGACGCACGGATCGAGGAGTGCCTGGACAACCCCCGCAACTACAACTTCGCCATCGACAAGGACGGGCGGATCGTCAAACGGACGGTGTTGTCCTAGCGGCCTCGGCCTGGGGCGGGGCGGGTGCTGGTCCGGCTTCTGTCCAGAGGCTTTTCGAGCCACTTTCTTCCTTTTAATGTATAAATCGACCACAGAATTGTCAGAGAAAGCCTGCGGGTCTGGCTGTGGTTCTTCTGAAGGGTTAACGCCCGTGGGAAGGAGGGTGAGGGAGAAACTTGGGCTTGCGGAGGCACCGGCAGCCTTTCTCAGCCCTGTGGGGCGGCGGAGAAGCTGCCGGAGAAGCTGCTGGCGTTGGTATCCCTGTAGCTCCGAGAGAGGCTGCTCTGCTGTTCCACCTCCCACGTGTTTGGATCCCTTCGGCTTTCACACGAAGCGTGTGGCGGGGGTGGGAAGGGGAGTGGGAACGGTCCTGAGGCACATCCTGGCTCTGAGCTCCCCGGTGTAGCCCTGGCACTGTTTGCCTGTCGACTCCTCCAGATGCTTTTGAAAGAAAACGAGGTTGGAATGGCTTTGCTAGAAACACTGCCCCTCCGCTTTTTGTTGTTGGGGGAAAGAATTCGTTGTTTCTCTGTTTCTGGGATGCTGGAAGGACCTGCTGTTCCTGCTCATCCTTCGAGCCCTCCCCTGCACAGCTCTTGGTGTGGCTAAATGAGAAAGTGCACAGAGAATGTCCAGATGATACCGGCTTGTATGTGTCTCCTTTTTCTCCACGCTTCAGCCGCCTTTTACTCGTCACCTGGGGGTTAAGTTGTAGATAATGCCGTAATGACTCTGCCTTGCAGCTGTGCCTGGGTCCTGTCTGACCATTCGGGCTTACCGGGGTCCTGCAGACCGAGCCGTGCTCCTTTTGGGGCTCCCCAAGCACGCTGGAGGCCAGCTTTGATCCAAAACTGCTGGTTTTGGGGCTGCCAGACACCAGCCTGGAGTTTGCTGCGGCTCAGCCAAGCCCAGGTGCCCTGACCGCAGGTCCCTCTGCCCTCCCTCCCTTGGGTCAAACACCAGCTCCAAGAATCGACCCTAAATCCTTGTTTTTTTTATCTAAGCTTCCCTAAAAATGGCTTTTTCCTCTCCAGCCAGCCCTCCTGAGTCTACACCTGAACCAGGCAAGCACATGAAAAACTCCAGACTTGTTTTTTTTTTCTCCCGTACAAGCTTTATTTCTAATGAGGATCAGCACTTGGATCTGAGTCTCAGGCCTTGACTCGTCTGTTCTCAGCCTGTTGCGCGGCCGCTGCAGCTCCACAGACGAGGGCTCCGGCGGGTTCTTCCCTCCTGGCTGGTCTATGCGATCCGTATTTCTTGGTCGCAGGATGAGTCGGCCACGCAGCCCTCTGTGCGGGGAGAGAAAGGGGAGAGCGCTGTGTGGAACGAGATGGCCCGACCAGCCCTCGGAGACCCCCCGGCGCTGGTTTTTAATGGCATCCTGTTCGCTTCGTGCCCTGTAGCTCCCCGGGGTTTGTGGCAGGATCTCTGGTAGCATCTAACTTAGGGAGGAGGTTGGGATTTTTGGAAAAGCGTAATGAACGCAGGAGGGGGCACGGGCTGCTGTGCACCACAGGACTCCCACCCCTCATCAGCCCCCTAAATTCAGTTGCTGTCTGCTTTCCCCCTTCCCGGAATCCTCATGAGCCATTACCGCTTTCCCTGGGATTGGGATCGAGTCTGCCCCGAGCGGGGTGGCCCTGGCTGGCAGGGAGATGGATGGATGGGACAAAGATGATCCCTTTGGGCAATGTCCCCTCTCCCACTTTGACACCATAACCTCTGGGGTATGTGTGAGCCCGCCCATCCCGTGACGAGGGTCCCGGAAGGGCCGTGGCCCGGCGCCGCGCTCACCGCTGCTGCAGCA